GGATGGGCGTCTTTAGTCACTGGATATCTTCCTGGTGTTCCCTCCCCATTAACAAGACGTTTGCTTAATTGTCTCCTTCCCCTATCTGAATCAGGAATGTCACTCTTCACTAGTGTCCAGAAAGGGGGAGGGATCACCACCAGGACTTTGCATGTTGAAAGATTTGACTTTTGATAAATAACAAAGTAGACTAGTGCTGCGCTAGCTATTTTCAACCCACCTTGTGAGTGTGCTTTTTTATTGCTTTATACAGCATATCTGATTCCCTCTAAAGCACAAACTAAAAATCTATCCGGCTGTCATTTGCTGCACACTGCCATCTATCATCATGCATCTTGGCAGCTCCAGTGCATGGAGGGGGGGGAGAGAGAGAGAGAGAGAGAGAGAAAGGGGAGCCAGACAGGAGGAGCAGTCAAGGACTTTCACATGTAACAATGGGGGAGAAAAAAAAACTTGTCACAATTATTTATGACTCTTGCTGGGGCACATAATAGGACACATAAAACCTCTGTTTCAGTTTCAAGCACCCTCACATCCCTGCTCCCTTGTTGAAGTTGGTCTCAGGCAGTTTTTGCTTTACACATACAATTTCCTGAACAATGCCGAACACTGGTGAAGTGACAGTGACAAATACAAAAAGGTGCCGGCTGCGGCTCTCCGGGCTGTTAAGAGAACGCCAGTGTCAATAATCGAGGAGGTATGCCAATGATGCCAAAATGCCAATGCAAAATGGCACTTGCCTCACCAGCCATCTTAAATAGGGCCCCTGGGTTTTTTTTAGAGCAGACAACTGTGCGATCCAGCGGACGTTTTTTAGAGATTTGGAGCTGGGTCAGATGGTCTGTCAGCCAGTTCCTTTGTGCAAATTACTGCTCATTTGAGCAGCCTATTTGCATGAATCAGGCAACCTTACCTAAAGACACTCAAGGAAGGGCCCAGGCGTGGGGAATTCCCTGCTTTGAGGAGCTACTGCTGAGGGATACACAAGTATGCCAGTATGGCTTTACACTACTCATTTGAGCAGGCTGTAAGCCGTTATTTTCAAGAATGTTCTGGTAGAGTGATGGCAGGAGGAGAAAAACCCACTGCAGTGCATGAACCGTGATGTCACTTTGAGGGGAAAACCTGGAAGTGACCGTGGGTAGCTCTAGGACTTGGTGAAAACCACAGAGTTTTCCAGTGGTTCCATTGTTGCTTCCAGGTTTTCCCCTTGAAGTGATGTCACATTGCATGTGATGCTGACCACAGCCTTTGTGAGGAAGTTTATAAAATTGTTTATGATGAAGAAAAAGTAGACTGAAATATTTATTTATTAGTTCGATTTATATCCCGCCCTCATAAAATACTAGAACTCAAGGGCATCAAACAAAGCTTAGGGGCAACTAATTCAGGAGAGACAAAAGAAAGTCCATCTTCGCGCATGGGCATAATTTAATTGAGAAACTCAGTCCCATTGGGCTGTAATGACAGCCACTTGCCTTCAATGGGTTTAAAAGGGGATGAAACAAATCCATGGAGGAAAGTTTTACCAATAGAACCAGCTTGCCCAACTGGTCAGGCTGCATCTGGAATTCTTATTAGCCATGATGCTTGAATGGTTCCTCCAAAATCAGAGCCAGAATACCTCTGCATACCAGATGCTGTGGATCAACATCAGAGATGGCTGTGTGACCTTGCTCCCGGCCTTCTGGAGGCATCTAGTTGGCAACTGTGGGAAACAGGATGTTGGACTACATGGATCTTTGGTCATGACATAAAGGACACAGAAGAAGTAGTTGGAAGCCTTTCTGTTTGGGGAAGAGGTTCCAGGGACCAGTATAATATTGGATAATTATCTTTTCCCACACAATTCTGGAAGTCTAAGGACAATTGTTGTCAGTAAAAATGATCTTTGTACTTCTTGACAAAACAATATAGATGTTTGGCACCCTGTGTGGCAAATGTGGCAGAATTGTGGCACCCTATCCTTTGGCAGATGATTATCTGTTCAGATACCACATTCCTCCGCTTTGAGTCAATATTAGGGCAAGGAGCAACTGCCAGGGTGGAGTGGCAGTTCTGTGGCATGACCAGCCCATCTGGATGAAAACACGGATGTTTTGGAAGTGATGCTGGGTTTCCAGCGATGGAGTGGCTATCTTCCCCCCATTCCCCAGAACATAAAAGATCTAGAGGGAAGCAGACAAGCACTAGCAAAGAAATGCCTGAAGACCTCCCTGGTGTGAGATGGAGCAAGCAACTGAAGCTGCCAAAAAGACACTATGGTTGGCCAGATGGAGCCCAGCAGGATAGGCTGGATAAAATGGAACCCAGTTGATGGAATCCAGTTGATAGCACCTGGAAATTGCAACTCATCTCCAGAGATCCTGGAGAAAATAGATGCTTTGGGGGGCTGGACTCTATGGTATTGTACTCCACTGAGGTCCTTGTTCTTCCCAGGCTCCACCCCCAAATCTCCAGGAGTTTCCCAACCTGGATCTGGCAATCCTGTCTTCCCGTCCCCTGTTGGTAGCCAGGGGGAACCTGCCAACCCTAAGCAACTCCCTCAAAAAAACAACAACACTGGCCATGCTGCCCCCCCCCCCCCGAACCATCCAAAAGAGCCCCACCCTCAGACTGGGGCTCAAAAGCATTACAGGTATTTTCAGGACACCAAAGGACCATTTTTCATCATGTTATTTTAATGGATGCTTGCCCATACACACTTGAATACACAAAGCTGCCTTTTACTGAGTCAGACCATTCGTCTGTCAAGGTCAGGACTGAATGGGCAGCAGTTCTCCAGGTTCCCAAGTAGCAGTCTTTCATAGCACCTAATGCATAAGCCTTTTAACTGGAGATTCCAGGGATTCAACCTAAGACCTTTGTCCCCCCCATGAACAATGGTGCCATCAAGTATTATGGAACAACCTCCCTAGGGAGGTACACCTGGCCCCCTCACTGTCAATCTTCAGGAGGCAGTTGAGGACAGTTTTATTTAGGACTGTACTTGACTGATTTGGCTTTTATTTACTGGCAGTCCTAGCAGGAGGAGCCTTTAAATGGCAAGCTTTTACATGTTTTTATAATTGTTGTTTTTATTCATATTCTTTTTATTGTGTTTTTATCATCCTTTTATTTATATTGTAAGCTGTCTTGAGTTCTACAAGGGAGAAAGGTGGCTAATAAATGTTCTAAATAAATAAAATAAAATAATAAGTACGCTAATACATTCAGTAGGTTTGTGCTGCCAAATAGTAACAATCACCAAAATATGGTGGAGTACCCAGAAAAACTTTCACATTGGTTGCCTTTACTCTTTCATATTGAAACTAATTTTAATTGCAGGTATTCTTTTTTCCTCTGTTGCAGAAAAGCATTCTGATGTAGCAAAGAAAATTGCACGCACAACTGATATGAATATACATTTGGGTGACTTTGTGCATCTGATCCCACTGAATGTTTTTAACATGCATGCACATTCGTATTTGGGTATACGCTAGATGCGCACAACAAAGCACAAACAATTGAATCTAAAACAGTGAAATCATAAGAAGAGTTACACCCTTCTAAGGTCACTGAATTCAGAGGATTTAGAAGGGTGTAACTCTGTTTAGGATTGCACTTTATTCCACCAGTAATGGTCTTTAGTAGTGGTGATAGCAATGGCACCAACAAGAGTTGCTAGATGGGAATACATCCAAGCACAAAGCTCATGTTGTGACTTGGCTCATTTGGACGTTCCACTTTGCAAACATGCTGCTATGAGTTTAGTAGCCATTCAATAGCTTTATCGTATACATTAACTAATATTAGTAAGAGTGTTCAGTTGTGAAAAGTTCAGTTGCATCAAAGAATATACCTGAATGGTTCATGAAATCATATGGAATTGTTTGCATAAATTTGGTCTATCTGAGCACATTTTTTTTTTGCAAATGCATTAGCATGCTTAACAGATTGCAATAATCTGTGATCATAATCCATTTTCATGATGCAGTAAAATAACATGCGAGCTGAAATAACAACACATTCTTTTTTATGTTACGAGAAAATGTAATTCCCTTTCCTTCATTTCCAAATATATTACTGTCGCATAACTTGCATTGCGAGAGATTTCCTAAAAGTGGACTATTCAAAGCTTCAGGGATCTGGCTGCAAAGATTTTATCTTCCGTCAAATATATACTTACTTTCCCCCATTACTTACGAGGCAGATAGTGAACCAATTTTCCACAGTAAAAGTAGTTATTTTTGCAGCAGACGCTGGAATGATTTAGAATTTTTTAAAATTATTATATAAAACTTCCAGCCCGGTTTGAATTTTTTTCTTCTTCTTCCCTAAAGATACCACAGGATGTTCTTTGTCTGAGATTATGACACCAATTTAGCAAGATGTGGCAAACATACAGCTACCAAGGAAATAGTTCCTTAGCAACAAGGAACCTATTGACAACTCTCAGCACAGAACCCACTTCATTCCCAAACCATGTTGCTTCTGTTTTTACCCCCCTGTTTTTCTCTTTTCCTTGTGGCAGCTGTACAAATGTGACATCAGAGAACAAAATCCTGCTCTCTGATGAATGTGAACGTTGGTGTGTAGATCGTGCATGTGTGTACGAGAATAAATGTGAGCTTAAAATTGGGCTCTTTTGTGAACTTCATGAGGTGCTGCATTGAGTATTCACAGTTGTACTTTGGCATTGCGAGCTGTACCTCATCCTATCTGTGGGAGGATTGCAAAGATTGGGGAAAAGGAGAAAGGCAGAGCTGAGCCAAGTAGCTGGTTTGAAAGTTCTTTCTGAGTGATGTAATTTGATAATGTCCATGTGGTGCAGTGGTTAGAGTGTCAGACTAGGATATGGAAGTCCCAGACCTGAATCTCCACTCTGTCATGAAAGCTCACTGGGTGAATCTCGGGCCAGACCCGCACTCTTAACCTAACCTACCTCACAGTTAGAGCATGGGAGGGGGTGCTCCAGTGCGTTCAAAAGAGGCACTCATATGCCCCTTTAACCTTCTGAGATGTCCTTCAACCTTTCCAGCTACGCCTGCCTGAGTGCACAGCTATTTGGAGAAGTCACTCAACTGGGACCTTTTCTGCACAAATGGTTCTCCCTGCTGTTGTATTTCTATTCCTCCACCTCTTTGGCTGGTTTCCGCAATGATATTTGCAGTCCGAGATGCAAAAACGAGCTTTGCTCCCTCTTGTGGCGCAGCAACAGAATTCCCGGAAACAGGGAAGTCTGATGCTGCGCTGCGAGAGAAGACAGATTTAGTTTTTGCATCTCAATCATTGCGGAAACCAGCTGATGAGGTGGAGGGACAGAAATGCAACAGCAGGCAGACCCATTTGTGCAGAAAAGGCCAGACCAACACGAAGTCCATGAAAGTTGTGAAGCTGCTCAGTGAGCCACCCACGGCCAAGCGGAAAGAGGTCTACAACTGGTATCCTCCCCACAACATCTACTCCAGCCTGATGAGGAAACTCCACTTCTATGGTCTCTACAGAGATGAGCATGAAGATTTCAAAGAAGAGATGAAAAGACTGAAGAAGCTATGTGGAAAAGGACTGCCAAAGAAAGGAGAAGGAAATAAAGTGATTAAGAGAAAATAGCATCACCCCTGTATTTAATAAAATGTTTTTGCTTCATTGAAAAAGAAAAGAACATGGGGGGAGTGGAAGGGAGGCTAGGGAATGGGGACATGGGGATGCTGTAGGCACAGTGTGTTAGGTGATGTCATGCTTCCCTGGGAATTACCGGAAACTATGTGGGAAATCTTGTCTCAGTAGGAATGGCTGGAAATTCTCTATTCCGAGAGGCATGACATAGTGATTAAACACTATTGTGCCAACGGCAATTCTTTCCCTTCATTTCCCCCCCACCTGCCAACCAATGCTCCCTCTAAGCTGTAGAGTCTTTTGAGCAAAGATTCTACTTTGTGAGCTACTGGCGTTAAAGTTGTGAGCAAGCGTTTTGACTGCTGCATAAATTAGTTTGCTCTGGAGCCATCCTTCCTGAGCGAAGACAAAAATGTGTGAGCCAGAGGCTAAAAAACTGTGAGCTAGCTCACACTCACTCAGCTTAGAGGGAACACTGCTCCCAACATAGTGGGAGTACTGGGAAATTTGGTTAATATAGTAGAGTTTTGCCCAGTCATAGAAGTGTGATACTGAGTGCAGTAAATAACAAGGAGATCTGACAGCCCAAGGGAATGGAGAATGCTGGGATGTCGGTTCTCATTTTGGAGCAGGAAGCGACATCACAGCACTTTAGGAAATTCCAAATCTTTATGGTTTTTAACCACAGAGATCCAAAAGTTCCTAGAGTGTCATGATATTGCTTCATTTTCTGAAACAGAAACTGATGTCATGGCACCAATCGATCCCCCTCCCAACTGCTCCACTGAGTGAGGACAGGGGACAGGGAATATTGCCTGGAGCTTCCCTGCCACAACCAAGTAAGTGGCAGCTCTGCTCACACGGTTGCTGTGAGGATAAAGTAGAGGAGAGGGAAATGATGTAATTCACTTTGAGTCCCCACTGGGGATGAATAAATAAATAAAGTTGAGCAGCACACAGTAAACGTGCTTTGACAAAAAATGCTTCCACATCTTGTTTTGATAAAGTGTAGCTATTAAATAAGAAACACAGTCCCTAATTTAAAAGAGACCATATTCAACCTGTATGTGCCACTTCAATTACCCAAATACCCATAAAACCCTTTCCTCTACCATTCCTCTATTGTCTTTCTAAAATTTAGATTGTAGGAAACTCAAAATGGGAGCCTACCTTTTTGCTTACATTCACTACCTTTTCCAGCAGTATGCTTTATGGCAGCTTTTCATCAGTTTTGCAGCACTGTGATTCAGCAGCAGACAAACTGCTTTGCCATTAGTAGCAAGTTGTTGTTTCATCTTGAGGTCAGTGGACATAAGAACATAAGAACAATGTTCGATCAGGCCAGTGACCCATCCAGTCCAACACTCTGTCATACAGTGGCCAAAAAGACCAAGGGCCATCAGGAGGTCCAGCAGTGGGGTCGGGACACTAGTGAGGTCAGTGGACATAAGAACATAAGAACAATGTTCGATCAGGCCAGTGACCCATCCAGTCCAACACTCTGTCACACAGTAGCCAACAATACCAGGTGCCATCAGGAGGTCCACCAGCGGGGCCAGGATATTAGAAGCCCTCCCACTGTTGACCCCCCCCAAGCACCAAGAAGACAGAGCATCACTTGCCCCAGAGTCCCTATCTATACCTTCTGACTAATAGCTACTGATGGAACTCTGCTCCATATGCTTATCTAATTCCCCTTTGAAGCCGTCCATGCTTGTAGCCGCCACCACTTCCTGTGGCAGTGAATTTAGCTAGGCCCAAAAGATAAAGCTGAAAACAGACACATCTTGGCACATTCTAACTTTTGCCCTGGATCTTCTAAGCTGGGTTTTTTTATATGCTTGTTTAGACAATATATATTTATGCTAGGGTTGCCAAGTCCATCTTCCGCCCCCAGCGGGGGACTTTGGGGGCGTTCCTGGAGGGGGGGGCATCACCGATGTGATGACATCATGTTGGGGATGTCCGCCCCCCCCCCCCCCCCGCTTGCACACCCGATTTCCAGAAACGCCAGTTTCCTGCACTTAAAGAAGCCGGTATTTCCCTTTTAAGTACACGGAACCAGCGTTTCCCCTTTAAGAGCAAAGAGCCGGCGTTTTCCTTTTAAGTGCAGAGCTGGCATTTCCCTGCAAGCCTGATCTCAAGCCGAGATTGGGCTTGGGAGGAAACGCGGGTTCCATGAACTTAAAGGCAGCCACCCCTCTCTCTCAAGAGAGAAGGGAGAGGGGGTGGCTGTGGGTGTTGAGGGCGGGTAGAACTCCCCCCCCAAAATGGGGGATGCCTAGCAAACCGGGGGGGAGGGGTTGGCAACCCTAATTTATGCTACCTTTTCAGAGAAATGCTTGAGGGTTAGAATTCCCCCCCAAAATGGGGGATGCCTAGCAAACCGGGGGGGAGGGGTTGGCAACCCTAATTCATGCTACCTTTTCAGAGAAATGCTTGAGGTGGCTAACTAGAGTTGCCAACTTTGGGTCGGGAAATTCCTGGATATTTGGGGGTGGAGCCTGGAAAGGGTGAGGTCTGGAGAGGCGAGGGACCTCAGAGGGGAACTGATCTATGTAATGTGGAGGTCAGTTTTAATTCCCATAGATCTCCAGACTGCCTGAACAGTGAAATCATGAAAACAACAATTTAAGATTTATCAGTAATAAAACAAGTCATAAAAACAAGCTAAAGGCACAGAACAGAACAGCATTCAGCCACCTAAGATAATACAGAAAACTCTCTTCCGGCTAGAAGCAGGCCATAAAAACAGCTTTAAGTTTAAAGGCCTAGGTAAAAAGAAATGTTTTGGTCTAGTGCCTAAGGGATTATAAGGTAATCGCTAGCATGGGAGAGCATTTCAAAGATGAGGTGCCACCACTGAAAATGCCCTACTTGGTGCCACCCATCTCACTCTGCATGTGGGGGGCACACAGTATAGGACTTGTGAACAGGATATTACTTGGCACATAATGACAGTAGAAGAGATGTTCCCTCAGTTACCCAAGCCATTTAGGACCTGAACAATAAGAATCATAATTTTTAATTCAGCATAGTAGTCTGTTTTGTATATACTCTTTTCTATTTTCAGGATGGCACTATCTTGCAAATTCTTAGGTGGACAGATAGAGATATGTAAATTAATCACTTTGGAGTTATACTACACTCAGATGACAGCATCTCTCATTTATGGCATTCTAGCTATGGATGTGCAAAACTGCCTTATACTAAGAGCCAGTGTTGTGTCGTGGTTAACCTGTGAGATTAGGATCTCAGAGAATCAAGTTCAAAACTCCACTCTCCCATGAAGCTTGCTGGATCACCCATGGGTAAGTTACTTTTTTTCACCCAATCCTATTCACAGGGTTATTGTCTGGTTAAACCAAGTTTTATAGTCCTAATAATACAGACTAGCCCGATCTCATCAGATCTCAGAAGCTAAGCGGGGTTGGTACTGGGATGGGAGGCCACAAAGGAAAACAGGGGCTGCTATGCAGAGGAAGGTCATGGCAAAACCACCACTGCTTATTTCTTGCCTTGAAAAGCCCATCAGGTGGTACTTCATGGGGTCACCATGAGTCAATTGGGACTGGATGGAACTAGGCTTGCCAAGTCCCCCTGGGGGGCAGGGAAACCCCCGCCCAAGAGTCACGTTCCCCACCACCGATGGATCGGGCCCCGGGGGGAATCCCACCCCAACGTGCACATCACCTGGAAGTGACGCGACTACGCCGGGCACGCTGGGGGCAGGGCCACGGTCATCCAAGGGAAGACTCTATGGTTTCCCCTCGGATAGTCGTGGCCCCACCCCCAGCGTGCCCGGCGTGTTCGCGTCACTTCTGAGTGACATGGATGTGGTGCGTGCTTTGAGCGCGCACACACTCCAGCCGCCAGCCAGGAGTCCCCTGCTGCGGCGAAATTCAGACTTGGCAACCCTAGATGGAACACATTATCTTACAGAACCAGATACAGTGCCCTGGACTCCTTGGAGAAAGGGTATTTTTTAAAAGAAAGTATATTTGCTACATAGCCCATTTTGCACAGTATTACTATTTTAACTAGCAGTGGCTCTGTTATGTACGCGGACCGCCACCAGGGGTCCGTGGCTAAAGCAGGAGCTTGGTCCCCAAACACAAAGGGGACCTAGGATCCTAGTCCACCGGGAGTCCACCAATAGCACCCTTGGCGGGAGATTCAAACCCTCCAATGGGGACAGAGGTGTGCCGGGTGGAGTGTATATAGTTGGCCTTTCAAGGCCGTTTTGTGTGTCTTGTTGTGAAGTACAATAAACACGTCTGAACACATGTCGTGGTCCGAGTCCTCCATGCATCGAACCCAGTATTTTTCAGGCTCTCAGCAAGCAAACGTTAGAAAAGATTTTCCTCTTTATGAGACTCATTGTATTGGAAGTACCCATGGCCGTTCCTTGGTCTGTTTTAAGTAAAGTTTTTTTAAAAAAGTAACAAAGACCACAAAGGCAAAGCTGCAAGAAAGAAGAGGACTAAAGCCTTGCTGTGCATGCCAGAGTCGTCATGAGGTAAAAAGCTGCAGACAAGTTTACATATTGAGAGGGCCCAGCAATTCAGAGCTGACTCATGGGCAGGGATTACACTTTTGTTCCTCCCAGAGAGGGCCAAAACCGAGACGTTCCTGTCAGGAGCCTTGGCATAGTGCCCTTGATCGTGACCCTTTGGGTGTGTTTTTTTTTAGCCAGTTGGAGCCATCCTCAGTTCTTTTGTTAGCCAGATGCTAAGGAGGAGATAACAAATTAAACCTTACGTAAGGTGAAGATGTCATGGAACACTCCTGCCAAGTAGTCACTGGATGCAGAGAATGTAAAAACAAACGAACAATAATTTGGGGATGTGAAACAAAATGAATGAAATTACCACTGTAGCATTTGAGCTATTGTCTCACTGATTCCCCCCATAATGTGGAAAACATTTTCTAGCTTTCATAACGAGCCAAGATAGTGCCAGTTTTGTAGGGAAGTGCCACAGGAATATTGGATT